TTGACCATAAACTCATTAGACAACGGCAAACACACATTCTCTTTGGTAGCCATTTTAACTGTATTTGTAGACTGTTTCATGGCATAATCTGTGTCGAAGTTAAATAGCTTCCTACCCAAGTTTGGCATGGAGCTATGGAGCTCTGTGTCTCATTTGCTCGTGCGGTCGGAAGACATGATCACAGTGCGAAATGCATTTGTTGCACTTAGATTTTTGTCATTTTTGTCAGTTGGATTAATGCCGAACGTTAGTTGTGATTTTTTTCTATTTTGTGATTTTTTGTTTGTCTTTGAGTTTTTTTATTTTTATTTTTATTTTTATTGTTATAAAGTTACTTAAGTTTTATGGTTATTGTGCTTATATGGTTGAAAAACAATTTTTATGCTTCCTCATATAGTCTTTTGATGAGATCTTGTCATTGGCAATTATGCTTGTCAATAATTGTTTTAAATAGTAATTGCTGGAATACATAAATTTATTTGTTTTGTTGAGGATATACCTATTAGGTAAACAGAATATAAGAGTATTATCGTATATTATTTTACAAGATAATAAGATATTATATACACGTGAGTCTGGATTTGGATTTAAATAATTTGACAGCAAGAGAAGCAATCCTAAAAACACTTAATAGAATAATGAGTCCGTTATTTTAAATTTATTATTAATTATTTTTTAAATTTGAATATGAAAAACAATTAAATATTTAAAAGTTTAATTTTTTATATTTTTGTTAATATTCATTATAAATAGGTATGCTGTAGTACCTATAAAGTAAAACTAATTAAATATTTTTAATTTGACCATAAAAAGCCAAACGAGGAGTTGAAATTTTTCGCTGAAATCTGGTATTTATTGCACGTGATATACCGTTAAAATTGCATTAAACTGCATTTTTAACTGAGAAATAGCAATTGTTGAGCGATTAAAAAAGTTGCTGACCAGTGATATGGAAAACTTACATGTTGTTTCTTAATTAAGTAAGTTTAAGTTTTATTTGCCTTTTATTAGTAAATTTTTTTTGCACTTCTTTCTTTTAATACTCACTGTTTATGTGCATAGAATAAATATATCTCATACTAATGTATATGTACTTTTATTATACCATATAGTAGCAACAATTTGTAATTTTCCAATCTGATTATTTAAAATGCAAAAAGTGCTATTGGCCAATGATGTTTGTAGTGCAGGCGAAATTGCACAAATTAACAGTTTTTGGTTGCGTTACATTTAGCAAGAAAATTAGTATAATAACTAGACAATGGGTTTTGAATATATGTATATATTTCACCGGCGGCTTGTTTGTTATACGAACTGCATAATAAAACAATTAGAATATTTATATAAGAAACGCAAATAATTGCTATTTAAATGCGAGTTGAATTATATTTGTTTAACTGCTTTGTGTGAATACGTTTATATGTAGAGCATATGTGACAGTTATAATAAACACAAACAACAGCCATATGGATTAGAATCGAATGCTTTATATCTGGAACACATATGGTATATTCACAAAAGTCACTGTATTAAATATAGACTTTGCTGAACATAGTAAAAATTATTATCCAATGGACTTTAGCGGTGCCATATACCATAATTAGATTTATAATATATAATCATACACATATACCCAAAGATGGAATTATTTCGCAATATAATTTAATACCATTAACTATTATAAAAACCATTAATTTAAATAAAAAATATTGCATGACAATTTAAAACCAAAATTTATAATTAACTATGAATAAAAACTTTCATTAGAATTCTTCTAAAGATATTTAAAATCATTTGTAGCAAGAACTCCTATAGGTAGATTGTTCATCTATGCTGTTATATTATAACGGGTTAAACCATAATAATATATAGTAAAAGTAGAAAAATAATATTTAAAGTTATATTTAAGTATTATTTTGTTATAATTTTCTGTATTAACTCTTATTATATTTTGGATTTTTTTATTAAGTCTTTTAGCAGACTTGGAATTATATTTGAACTTTTTCCATTTCCATTTTCAAATCAGTTGACATAACAGAGTTTCGGTAACTATCTTTTCTTTGAGCTATACTAAAGCAAGTGAATTATCAATTACTATGAAAGGAATCTTGCCTTAGAGTTAGAATTTTTGACTTTTTTTGTATTTAAGTCTGTTGACTTAAGATAGTTTCGTTAACCATCTCGTCTTTGAATTATACTAAATTCAAAGACGAGTCCAAACATTCGAAAACGTTTGAACTATCAACTACTAAGGAAGGAATTTTCGTTAAGGGTGTGATAAGGGTATTAAATAAGTGGAGTTGGAGTTCTGATTGTGGTGGATTATGTGTTGCATAAAATTAATTTGTGACTTTGAAATTATGTGATTTGAAGTTCATAAGTGATTGATAGCATTTACAAAATTGGAAAAGATTTTATCGATAACTGTAAGCAATAATTACAAAGCCATTGTTGTTGATCTCTGCTAGTTTTTAAGGATGTGATTGGTATCATCAATTAGATTATTTCGTGGATTGTTATCATTTTGTATGGAAGTTGTCTTGTTGAATACATGTACAACTATCGATCTAGTGTAGGATTCTAATAATAATGATTTAACTAATTGAATGTATCTATAACTAGTGTGTTGTAGATACAAACCCTGATTTAACTATTGAAATGTACCTATATTTGTGTAGTTTGTGTATCATATAATATTATATATATCATATAATATTAATCCTTTTTGCAGCATCTAAAAAAATAAATAAAACGAAAGCCAAAAAACTAAAGCCATAGCTCTGTAAAACAATGATTAAATAATGCTTCAACATATGTATGGTTTCACAGTGATTATATACATTTACTACTTTTATACAAGTAGATTTATATTTTTTTCAAGAATTCCTTTGTTTATGAACAGATGAAATAGTATATAAAGAAATTAAAAAGCATATATATTTATACCGATAAGGATTATGTATTATAAACCATTCCACAAATTAATCTTGCAATTTTGATGGTTTTGTTGTAGTTAGACTATGTCATTTATTTTTATTTTTTAATAAGTATTAAAAAACATTAACAAGACAAAAGACTAAATAACATATAGTATTTGTACATTTTTAATAACATTAACTGTTGCTTTCACTTTTTAATCTCGAACAAGATTTTGTCTTCAACTTACTAAAAAATATATTCGATTTTAATATTTAAATAAACTTATTATAACAATTCACTTATATTGCGGAGGAAAAACTTTTGTATTGATTTTATACACACTTAATTATTAAAAATACCATATTCAGATACCCCTTAATCAACTGTTTAATTTTAAATGTATAAATAATACATTTTTATATATATACAATAAGTTATATATATATAAGTTACATATTATGGAGAACTACTGTCTCTCTTACATTATTACTTTTATTGTTTTACACTCGTATAATGGATTTCCTTTAAAGGAACTACAACTCGCCCACAACTTTTTAAAATTAAATATAAATATTTCTTTTAAGGTAAAGCAGCTATATTTTCCATTGGTAGCTTTTGCTATATAATATGTGTGATTCATTATTTTCATATTAAGTGTATTTGAAGATAAATAAATTAATTTATTTGTTGTAAACTCTCTATCTAAAACTTTTTTAATATCGTTTAACAAATCTGATCTGGTATGTAAAACTACCCAATTGAACTGCTACTAACTTCTAACTGCTGTGGATCGGAAATCCACTGTGTTGTGCAAAACAGAGCGGCTTCTTTCATTTCATTTCAAAAACAACCAAATAGGTTCTGATTTCACCCATTGAACAGGAGAGCTAACCCATAATGTCTGAGATATCACTTCTTCATTTACACCCTTATATGTGACCATGGATATCCAGTTTTTCATTTAAAAAACAACCAAATAAGTCCTTATTTTACCGATATGCAAGATAAAACTAGATTTAATCAGAAAATTCCAAATTAAATAATGGAACTAAGCAATAATGGCTAAAGGACAACTTCTTCTTTTGCAGTGCTATTGGCGTACATTTTTTCCAGTTGCAAAAACACTTAACGTATCACTGTGGCACTATTAGTACTATTTAATATCAAAGTGTTGGTGTGTTCAAGAAAGTCTTTCTTTGTGATTAAAATAACTTTTCGTAGATTAATATGAGTACTGCTCATTTATCGACTGATTCAATGCCGCAGTTCGAAAAAGTTAATTACTTTCTAATATAATATAAAATTCAATTTCAAATAAAAATATTTCGTTTTGAAAGCTTGTGGTTTAATAGTTTACCCTATACAGTAATACTCCCTACAACGCGGTAGGTTGGTTCCGCGTTATAGGAAAACGCGTTATAGAGTTTCCCGTATACCCCGTATATACACGTGCAAAGGTACTCGAAGCTAATTATGAACTGTACAAATGCTCGAGTTATATGGGGGAAGGCCCGTGTTATACAGGGGATTGAAATATGAAAACGCGTAATATGAAAACGCGTTATAAGGGTACCACGTTAGAGGGGGGATTACTATATATACCTAAATTATGCTATGGACAGCATTATTCTTTTATATCATAAATATATCAAAAAATGAATTTAATTTCGACCAAAAATGATTAAAAATACATCTTAAGTTATAATTAACCTGTGTTTGGATTGTAATATATGATAATACATTTTAGAAGTCAAGCGCTTATATAGTATATATTATGCAGAAGTTCTTTATGTTAACTATAACTATAATAATATTTATCAATTTAAATAAAGGACTCATTTTCAGTGATCAATTTTCTTATTTTAGGTATATAATTTCATAAACCAAGAATTGACTTTAAAAATACTATCTTCTCTCTGAAGAAAGAAACTATTGTAAAATAAAACTCACCACGAGTTAAAAACAAAGCTTATTGCAGTTTATGGTAGTAGTGTTAGCTTGGTGAGTGTACATGATCCGTTGTTGGTTCAACAGTGTTATGTGTTCACCGCACAAAGCACAAAATTCAGTTAATACGAAACCAGCGAATGGGTAGGACGTGTCTTTAGAGCTGGAAAAGTAGAGAACGTCGTGAGAATTGGGAAAAAATTGTGTGGCGTTTAGTGCTCGTGTGTGGCTATAACTCGCGTATTTCTTTATTTATTAGTAAGCGTGTTAGTTTTATTAATTATTTTTTTCTTTATAAAATCTATCTTGTGTGGGAATAAATCATAATTTTTTTCATTGATATAAAATTTGATATAAAATTTATAATTTTTTATAAATCGTTTCCGTTTTTGTACAACCAGCGTTTTAGGTGAGTCACTTTACGCAAAAAATATATTGAATTTTTCGTAAGTTGTAATTCGAGTGCAGAGATTATTGATCCGCGAAATTGTGCAAAAGTAGATACAAAGTGAAAAATTTGTATGAAATGAAAGACGTGTGCTTAATTTTCGTAACAAATAAATTATTTGCTTAAATAATTACATTGAAAAATTGAAAACGAAATACCTACATAGCAGAGTGCAGTCAATTACTTAACAAAATAAATTTAAATTTACTCAAAATTAATTTTTTTTTTAATTTTAAAGTTTTGCTTTTGTTTGTCAGTCGTTAAAAAGCTTAAACATGTTTAAGTTGAGTTTTTGGAAAGCTTTAAGTGTTGTCTATTTTATTGGAATAACGTCATTATGTGGATTTACAAATGCAAAGGGTAAGTGCTAACAGTAATTATACATTATGTATATATACTCATATCTAGCTAGATAACAATAAATTGAATATTTAGTTAAAAATAAAATATATATTTAATATGTGAATTTCAAATGCAACTATCAGTTAAAATGATGTCATACCAATGCAACTGTTTCGACTTAAAAAACGTTTTGTAAAAAACCTGACCTCGTTTTAGATTTTATGAAGCGTGCTTGAGGGGAAAATTAGTTTGAGAAATACTCTAAAAGTATAAATTTTTTTATGCAAATTAACTACAATTGCTAAATTTTAAAAACCTAATTTTGGCTATTAAAGTGTTAAGGAATTTAATAATTATAGGGAGTTTCTTTGCACCGAATTGAAACTAGTAATTTTTTCTAATTCATGAGAAATGATGGCAATTAGCAAAATCATTATCTACATACGAATACGAATATGTTAACAGATATGACCAATTTTTATAATTGGTACATTGTGAAAGTAAGTTCTTTAATAGCGCTAATTTGTTTTAATTGTAGCATTTCTAATATATAATTTAACTAATTCTCTCTTTCATTTATTTTTCTAAGAAGTATAATCATTTTTCAAGTATATGAATTTTTTCAAAAACGCACAAAAGAAATGAAAATTGCAAACATTTATTGCTTTTCTTAAAATAACTTCTTTTATGAACTTTTATAAACTCTGAAATACTTTGAAATACTCTTGAAATGACATTAATAATACTTAAATTTAAGTATAAATAATGAAGAACATTTTTTTGTTGGCTTGAATTGACATGAATTGAATAAACATGAGATCATGGACAACTACCACACACCAGCAAGACAATTAAATAAGAAAAAGTAAAAATATTAAGTAAATTTCATATGTACACACATCGACGTATATATGAATAAAATAAAAATAATGATCAGCAATATAAGTTTCAAAAGTATTACTACAAATCAAAATACAACAAATAAAAACACAAATTTAACTAAAAACAAATTAAAATATATTTTGATATAAAAATAATTTCAATTAATTAAATATAATTAATTTTTGAGGCCCGACATATAAATTCAAAAGATGTCATAAAAATTAATTAATATGATCGAAATGTCAGTAAAACATATTACTTTTTATTGACTGTTGACAATGAATCAATTCAATATAATGTTAATGTTAGTGCTATGTTGTCATAACATAATGTATATATGTCTATAAAGTATAATATTATAGTTATTATTAAAAATTTATATATAATTTAAGGACATTGTAGTCATTCTCAAACATTATTATCGAATAACTGTCAATTATCTCAGTTTAGGAGGTAATTATATGATACTAATACATCATAGCTTACTTCTGAAGACATCAAGCTATAAAGATATAAGCTTTTAACATTAATTAAACCAACAAAAAGTACTTAATGGACTTAGGGCCAACTAGTATATGCGCTTTTCGCATTTATTACTACTTGTTGTTCATAAATTTTATGTAAAAATATTCAGTTTTAAAGCCCGATATCTCGAAAACTAAGATGTATTAATGCATATCATAAGTCATTTGTCTTTTTGGTTTTCAAGGAAGTTACTTTTGAACTATCCATCCATCTCACTTCTTGATAATTGCATTTCAGAACTGCGTGATCGCCCATATCTGTTCCCACGCAACTCCAGTACGCCTAATGTGTCAGTGTCCAGCATTAGCTAGCAGAAAATTAGCTTTAAATCTTCAAGATCTCTTTTTTAACTTATCTGCCAGAGCTGACATCCTTTAAAATTGAAGCATAGCCAAAACTTGTCACTATATTTGAACTCTTAACAATCTCATATCTTGAGGATTCTATTTCAATACTGCATGATATATATCATTGTGGTTTAATTAATAATTACCTCACTATATATAAATATATAACTCTTTATTGATGTTTTAACCTAAAAATATTAGAATTTTAATACACCCAGCATTTGTAGATTAAATTATTTTTCTAATGAACCAATGTAAAATATATCACACCGAAGAACTTAAGCAACGCACCAATAGTGTAGCTTCAAAGTACTGAAAACTTTAATATACAGCAGCTCTATCATCCAAAACGAGAATGACAACACAACAAAAACTTTGCAAAAAGTTGTCTTAAAATGTTAAAAAAAAAATGCATAAACAAATCAAATAAAAACGAAGGTAAAAAGGCTAAAAAGTATGTGTAGGAGAACTGGAACAATTTTGGTTCGGTTGTGATATCGTATAAGTAAAAAAAGTTTATAAATGAGGTATTAATTTAATATAAAAAGTTATAATAGTCATTGAAAGTTTCTATATTAAAACGTGTTTAAAAGTTATTGTGGAGAAAAATTTTCTACACACAGTTTTGTATAAAAATATTTCAGTTCTTAAAGAAATACAATAAAGAAATTAAAAGAAACTACAAAATTAAGAATAATAATAAATTAATTAACAAAAATATTCGATACCATTTACTTAATTATATTGATCAAACAGTGAAATTTTCTTCATTCCCCAATTGGTCTACACCCAATAATATATTAGCTACCCAAATCTGGATATTTTTTTCGGGAAATAAAATAGTTCCATAACTCTATACATCTGTAATAATAAAGATAGCTCGTTAAATTAGCTTCAACTTGTCTACACCTGAATTATCATATTGAATTGAATTTCTATCTCAAAGTAGACCATTACTTTTCGCTTATACATGAAATCAATGTTTAATTAAGTGAATGCCAATGTAAAATAAAAAAATGTCAGTTAACAGCACTAAAAATACTGAATAATAATGTTATAAAATATTTCTGTACAAAATCTTTGTGTATATATTTGTGCATATAGTTTTATTCAAAAGGCTTGTATTAATATATAGTAGATAATAATAATAAAAAGATATAAAATTAAAATAAATAAAAAAAAGTAATAAAAAGATAATTATTTTCTCTTATATGTAGAAACTGTAATTACTTTTAAAATTATTTATTACTATAATTTATATAGCAAAATTTTGTTCATATTACGATTTAATTCCAACATAAATTGTTAATATTTCCATACAAATCTTTTTGAATTTAATTAGATCTATTATCGAAATCAACAATAAGTCTAAATGACAGCTAAAATTAAAAAGAAATTGTCGTGTGAATACAGTATAAGAAAGGGTAATAAGAAATTCTGATCTGTTATTTTTATTTTTATGAATTGTATGTATATATTGCTGACATAAAATACCCGGTATATTTAAGTCGTAATTAAGTCATTTTAAGGCCGATAGTTTGTATAAGTACAACAAATACCCAACTATTATTACAAAAACTTAACAGAATATTACTTAACATTTTATATAAGATAGTGTTACTTGTTTATAAAATATTACCATAAAAATCATTTAATATTATATGCCGCTTTGTATTACACGCATATAACAGGTTAAAGTAATCATAAACGATAGACTTAAGCCACAAACTCAAGTGAGAACAAAAGAATTTTTAAAAATGCTTGAGTTCTAAAAAATGTTATTTTAAATAAATGAATTATTAATTTTGGATTAATAAAATTTTTATAATTTATACTGTAGATTTATGAATTATGAAATTAGAAAGTAAGAGTTTATTATTTAAATTTTAGAAAAGAAAGCAAAAGTTATAAAAATTATATATGCGATTACAAGAGCTTATTGCTCTAAAAATATATAAAATTTTTTTATTTTTAACAAAAAAAAAACACAATTAATGTTATATAGAAAAAATATATCTTCTATAAAAAATAAAATTTATAAATATATACTTCAATGCCAATAAATGCAAATTACTTAGTTTCTTTAATTTACTTATGTTATCCTTGAAAATGTTCTGCGCTTTTTTTAAAGCAATGATGTCAATTTGTTGAAAAGTTCATGCTTAATTTAATTTTAATTTTGAATAATGAAAAAAAACACCGCAGTATGTTTATATTGCAGTAATACAAATATTGTATTTCACAGAATTTAATTTGTTTGCTTATGTTTAAACCATTTTGTATCTGAACATCGTCAATTCACACAAATATAATTTTTGAAAATAATTATTAAATCTAATAATTATTGTTCTATGTATATAATTAATATTTATAATTTTATTTAGAAAATATTGTAAGGTATTTTTTTAAATTTTGTTGATTGAATGTTGGTTTAAACAAAAAAAAAAATAATTTTCAGTACATCAATTTATAAACACAATGAGTATTGGAACCTTGTGCTTGTTTAGTATCTATAAAAAAATAATACTAATTACCTTAAATAAATAATACAGAATAATGTTCAATATGTAGTTAGAAAACAGGGTCGTAGCCAGACACTGACTTCAGGGGTTGAATTCAAATAGTTTTCGTCATTTAAAAAGAATATTGTTATCTTATTAAACAGTAATGTTAAATTAATATTGAAAATATACATGTTTAAAGATAGTGTTTAGATTTTTTGAGGGGGTGGGAGAGCGTTTAGGGTATAAATGCTTCAGCTGCTGAGCTTTTGCTGCAGTTATTTGCTTGTTAGTAATGTTAAACATATATAACTAATCTCTTCTTTTTTATCATTAATGCTTCGTGAAGTGGAGAATTAGTAACGTTAATTAAAATAAAATTAAACATTTTAAATGATCATCAAAAACACATAAATCTTTCAATAGTTTAGCAAAAATTATTAAACTTATGCATATTTGAACTTGTAGCAAAAGTAGTTTTTAAATTTTATTGCAGAAAATATAGTTTTTTAATAATAATTTTTCTAATTATTTTATTTAAAGCTTAACAGTTTATGTTAATTAAAAACAATTAGCGATGAAACTTTCATAACTTCATTTATTGAATAATAAATCTATATAATTTATAGTTATTAATTATATTTATTATATTCGAGTTTAAAAAAAGGAATTGCTTTTTTTTGCCAACTGAAAATCTTGGTATTTAAATATGTAAATGCTTCTATTTTCCGACTGACGACTATACTAGTCATTACCTTA